TTCACTCTTTCCCTCCCGGTGTGGCTGTTACACCAGTGTTTCCGCCCATGGCAGTCTCTACGGCAGCTGCTAGTCACTGCGAGGGACAGATGCAGCAGCGGGCCTTCAGGAGCTACCCCGGGTCTGAGGGAGTGGGCCCTCGCTGCAGCACTGCAGGGGACGGCACGGCAGAGACACCGCCTGTGAACGGGCGCTCCGGTGACCGCATGCGTGCTGCCGTCCGAAAACCCGGGTTCCACACCTAGAGAGTCACCATCTGCTCAGAACAGAACACCGGCAGCTCTAGAGAGCCCCACCCCCACTGCCCTTTGTAACTGAACTCCTCAAAATGATACACACTTGGACTTTCTGACCCTGAAGAGCTTTTTTTGTTTTTAAACAAATGACTGTCGCTGTGGATCCTGTTCAAGCTTCACAAAACCTGGGTCTTCTGGTGGCTTTGCTTATTCAGAATCATTCTGGAGACCACGATGGTCAAGGGTATTTCCACAGAGTCCTAGCACCCCAACAGACCTCTCGGTGACAGTACAAACCTGCACCTGGCCGTCAGCCAAAGAAAGACGCACCAGAAGACAGTCTGGGGACAGAGGAAGGTGATTTCTCTGACAGCTACACTTCAATACCTGAACAGCACTGGCAACCTTAATGGTTACTGAGAGATTTTCTTAGTCTCTTTTTAACTTTTTTTTTTTTTTAAAGATTTTATTTATTTATTTGACAGAGAGAGATCACAAGTAGGCAGAGAGGCAGACGGAGAGAGAGGGGTGGGGAGAAGCAGGCTCCCTGCTGAGCAGAGAGCCCGACGCGGAACTCGATCCCAGGACCCTGAGATCATGACCCGAGCCAAAGGCAGCGGCTTAACCCACTGAGCCACCCCAGGCGCCCCTCTTTTTAACTTTAAAAAAAATCTTTTATTTGAGAGAGAGACAGAGGTGGAGAGGGGCAGAAGGGGAGAGCGGGAGAAGCACACTCCCCACTGAGCAGAAAGCCTGAACCGGGGTGGATCCCAGGGCCCTGGGATCAGGACCTGAGCTGAAGCCCCAGATGCTTCACTGACTGAGCCACTCAGGCCCCCAGGAGAGTTCTCACTACCTTGGTCAAGTAAAGTGAACGTAGATCCCATCCAACTTTTAAGATTTTTTTTAGATTCACAAGACCAGGATTCAGAAGCAGAGCCAACGCGAGCCAGAGAAGGGCCAAGGAAAGGAGACAGCACGTGGGAATTCAGTGCGGAGGGAAAGGGCTGACACCCGAGTGACCCGACCTAGGGTGGAGGCAGAAGGCAGGCAGCCAACATGGTGGGGCTGCGGGGAAAATGCAGGGGGCAGCTCCGGGGGTAGCACTGACCAAGAGAGTCTGGGGACAGAACGGAAGGACCCTTGGGATGTGTCAGAGAGGCGTCTGCAGGAAGTCCCATCACCGAAGCACCTCCCAGCGCCCCCAGGGGCGGGCACGGGGCCAAGGCCCAATGGGATCAGACCAGGAACGGGGGCCTGGCCTCCCTGGGCCTCTCGGAGGCTGCCCATGGCTCTCCACATCTTTCCTGCTCTCACTCAGTCCTAGTTTCCCCAAACACTTTTCTCTACTAAACAGGGCGTAATGGCGCAGAGACCGCATGTCGGGTGTGGACGCCCATCTGCACAGATGCTCCACTTTCCTAGGATGCAGCACGAGCCCGGCAGGACAGATAGTCCACGGACTGCAAGCGAACATTTCCGTGGGATGAGACAGCAGAGCAGAGCAGACGCAGTGGAAGATGCTGGGCAGGGGGCACCCCCGGCCTGACCCTCAAGGGCCGTGCACAGGAGGAAGCAGCTGGGGAAGCGGTCTGTTTCAGTTAAGGTGCGCTGACCCTGAGGACACATGGATGGGCTGACGATGGGCACCACCCTTCAGCCAGCTCCCCCATAACCTTGATCCCTGAGCACTCACCCCGGAGGCCCCCTTCCAGAACACACATTAGGCTTTCTGGCTCCCATCCTCCAGGTAGGTCTTTTTGTGTGGAACATCTTGGACTTGTTCTCCCGGACCTTCACCCCTTACCTACCTGAAATCCTAACTGTCCTTCAGGCCACAGCCACCTCCCCTGCAGAGCTCTGCCTGACCTTGTCCTGGCTCTGCAGCCCAGGGTGCTCCCACGGACAGCCTGTGACTCTCCTGGCCTTACTCACACGCTGCCTCAGGATCCTTCCTGCTGCAAGACCTGCACGGGGGGAATCCCTGTGCTTGCTGTGTAACTCATCCTGGAACACCAGGATGATGGAACAAGACGCTTTTTCAGCCCCTACTTCAATTAAGCTTGGTCAATGCAGCTTTCCTGCTCTAATTCAAGAGGTTTGGTTTTGTTTTCTTTTTTTTTTTTTTAAGAGAGAGTGTGACCGCATGCATGAGTGGGTGGAGGGGCAGACAGAGAGAGAGAGAATATCTTAAGCAGGTACCACACTCAGCACAGAGCCCGAAGCCAGTCCCGATCCCACGACCCTGAGATCATGACCTAAGCTGAAATCAAGAGTTGGACACTTGACTGACTGAGCCCCAGGGTTCCCAGGAGGTAGTCAATGGTTAGAATCTTCCCCAGCAGAAGTAACAGGTCGCTAAGAGGGTGAGGCGTCGTCACATCTGACAACAGCTATATTCCCAATTGGAAGGATGACACAGGCCCCGGAATGACAGAACGATGAGATTCAGGAATACAGGGCCCCTCTGAGAACAACCCAAAGCCCTCCATCCGGGGCTCATCTCAGAATGCAAGCAGAGAACACACGAAGACTATGCTGGCATGGCACCAAACCCCTTCTCTGGGGTGTCAGCACATCAGATGTCAAATGTCCCAAACATTCAGGCCATTACTAATAGCTCTGGGGGCTGGGGGACTTTCCTTTTAAGAAAGAAAGCCCCTTCCGCCTGGGTGGCTCAGTCGGTTAAGCAACTGCCTTTGACACAGGTCACGATCTTGGAGTCCCGGGATCAAGTCCCACATCGGGCTCCCTGCTTGGCAAGGAGTCTGCGTCTCCCTCTCACCTCTTTCCTCTCATACTCTCTCTCTTTCTCATCCTCTCTCTATCTCAAATAAATAAATAAAATCTTAAAAAAAAAAAAAAAGAAGAAGGAAAGAAAGCCCTTCAGTAGCTCACTCCCCTCGGCTGCACTGTGGCGTTGGGACAGAGGATGCAGTCTTCCCAGTGCAAGGTGCCTTGACTCTCCCCTGCGTCCCAAGGGATGAAAACCATGACACACTCATGCCCCAACGTCACTGAAATGCCCTCAAACTTTCATCAACTCTGTGGCAAACAGTTCTGGTCACTGACAGCCCTCCAACCCCAAACTGTTCAAAAGGGACATTGTAGATGCTTTCTTAGGATAACTCACACTTACTTTCTGTTCGTAGAGTGGGAAAAAACAGTCAAGAGCTGGATTGTGTAAAGGCCAAGTTTTGCAGGATTTGTGAAAGGAGCTTGCCAGAAATGCCTGCTGAGGAAACAGAGGGTGTCTGTGTGCCAGGGTAGGGCCAGGAGCATGGAGGAGCGGGCGTTTAGCCTTTCTACGGCAAGTGCACAGTTGCTCAGGGCTCTAAAAAGTTAAGCCCTAGCACCCAACGGAACAGTGCATTCCTCACTGCAGGCAGGACTGTCTTAACGTGGGCCACGGATGGATGGTTCCCCAAGACAGAAACCAGACAAGACCACACTGGAGCCCGAGCCTGGCTAGGTCTCTGTGAGTCACCAGGCTGCAGAGTTCTGAAAAGGAAGTCCAGGCAGGTGAAGCCCCATGTCCCAGCTGTCATGTGCGGAATGAGGACGGAGCCGAGCCTAGAACCCAGAACTCAAAGCAAGAGCTGTAATAATAAAACTCTCCTGTGTGGTTTTACTCAATCCCCACAATCACCCAATAAGAGACACGTGTGATCTCAAAGGCACGAAACGGAGGCAGGAGGCATAAACAAACTACCCGACGGCAAAGCCGATCTCAAGCAGAACCCAAACACGGCCTCAGCCAAGCTCTTCTCGGGCTGCTCAGTCTCATCTCAACAAACTGAAGGAAGAACTGTGGCCATTCGGGTGTCTGGACAGACGCAGAAGGTAAGAGACCAGTACTTGCCTAAGGGTTAGTGCCTGCTATGTTTCGGAAGGAAACTGTTTACAGAAACAGCAGCACCCGTTCCCCTCCCGTAGCCATGTCCCTCGGCAAGGTGACTGGGCAGTAGCTCCCGGCTAGTGGCAGAGCCCAGTTCCCTACTCCTGGAATCCCAGATCAGCCTTGTGATTCAAGCGAGAGAATGCCAGGAAGTGACAGATAGTGGGCCGGTTCTGAGCCTAGGCCCAAAGACCCCTGCATGCTCCCATCCGTTCCTGGGGCCGCAGCAAGCCTGGGCTGGCCTCACGGAGGCTGGCGGGTCCGGAGGAGCACAGCCACAGCGGCTCGCAGTCCCAGCGGAGGTCCCAGAGATGTCGGTGAGGACAGCCAGAATCAGACGTCCATCACCCTACCAGCCTGTGTCCTAAGCACTGACAAACAGTTACTGCCATTGTAAGCCACTGAGTTTTGGAGTGCTTTACTACATAGCAGAGGTTAACCGGCAAGGCCCGTAGACTCAGACTCAAACTCTGTCCTGCCCTGGTAAGGCCTGCTCTCCCTGGCCTTGCTTCCAATGGCAGGAGGACTTCTCTTGAAATACAGAACACTTACAGGGCTGACCCACAGCCCAACGGGAGACCAGGGTAAAAAGGCCAAAGTATTTCTGCCAGCTAACACCTGAATGGTGATGCTGAGAGCAACCCACTAACATTTCCCGGTCCCCACCCCCACCCTGCCCACCCCACCACTTCACACAGTCCCTCGGGCCACAGAGGACCAACTGCGCATGCCCCTTCCCGTCTAATGCAGGGTCTGCAAGAGGACAGAGTCAGGGCTGGGCAGCAGTACACAAGTCAGGAGGCACAGGCGACAAATGAAAGCTCACACTCACGTTTCCAAGCAAAGAGCAGCAGGGAGCAACTCACCGAGGGCACAGGCAAGGTGCCGTGCCGGCTGAGAAAGGAGTTAGAGACGGACACACTGATGCCCTGAGTGGCACTGCTGTCCTCGGGGGTGAAGGCCACTTTAGTTTGCTGGACACAGTAGGAGACAGAGGAGAAGGAAGAAGCAGCATAGGAGGCCTGCTGGACAGAAGGGACGAGAGAGGAGACAGGGAAGGAGGGAGAAAAGCAGAGAACGGTCAGGCAGGTACACACGAAGGCTCATAGGCTGCCGCCTAATTCCGCTTAGACGTTCTGGAGAGGGATGGCTTCTTGGCTCAGCAGAGGAATCCAAGATGCCTGCCCAAGTCTACCTGGACGAGAGGGTGCCCTCCTTCACCTCCTCGTGAGGGATTTAAAAAGCTAACCTTCCTACAAGTTGTGTTCACTGGAAGTGGTGGCAATGTGGAAGGAGGCCAAGGGGGCTCGGGATCCAGCTCCGGCACTGACTTGGGGCCTCATGGTCCTCCCCTGGGGAGCAGACCCTGGAGTTATTCCTGCTTCCACAGAGGGTGCTGCTGGAGCCAGGTTGCCTGGCTTTGAACCTGGGTCTCATCATTTTGGGACCTGTTTGGCCTCCGGCATTATTTAAAGCTCTGTGTGCCTCAGGCTCTGCATCTGTAAAATGGGGACAACTGTCTAGGCCTGTCCGTGTGTAAAGCGCTCAAAGCCAGGCCTGCCGCACTGTACCAGGCCAGCGGGCACAACGAGAACTACTATTTTTGCTGGTGAAATGGAGCACAAGCCTTCCTGCATCTGTATCTGCAAGAGGGCAGCCACACAGCAGGCACAGGCCACATCACGAGCTGCGCCGGGCTGCAGCCAGAGCTGGGCTCGGTCCCCATCTTCTACTTCCCGTGGCGGGTGGGCTCCAGTGAAGTCCCTCTGGCTCCCTCAGCCTCAGCGGACTTAACGGGGCGGGGGGTGACAGAGGCCGTGGGGGGCACCACATGAAGCCAAACAAGCCACAGTGCGGACACAGAGGGCGCTCAGAAGGGCGTTGGCCCCGCTCCTGGGCCCCTCGCTACCGCCCTGCAGCCCGGGGAGGGCTCGGCGGGCTCCCCCACTCAGGCTCTGACTCCGAGAGCTCCCTAGGTGTCTGTGTGAAGCCCGGGGGCTCCATGGTGCGGAGAAGACGTCCAAGGATGACCGACGGGCACCTGTGGACTCTGGCAGGGGAGCGGAGATGTTTCAGTCCAATTCGACAGTTGAACCACACATTTTAGGTCAGGGGTCCCTGGGGCAGGCGTTTCTAGCTTCCGTGGTAAAGGTGGTTTTCTGAAACATTCTCACAGCCACGCAGATTCACACTGGGGCATATTCCGGTGTTCATGGGGTGGGTGAAGACCTGAGGCCCCGAGTGCCAGTTGTGAGACACAGCTAGTCCCGGGCTCTGCCTGGTCAGCCCGAGCTCACCAAATGCGGGAAAGCTCAGGGGCCCCTGGGGTGGGGCAGGGCTCGAGGAGTGACCCAGGGTCAGAAAAGGTAGGCCAGCACCTCTGTGTCCTCTCACGAAGGACTGAAGATGGCCAGGCCCCGCTGCGGTGGGAACACTACCAGGCTGGCCCAGCCGATGAGCGTAACGGCACGCGCAGCTCTGAATGGGCCAAGAATCCCTTTGCACTCTTCCCGGTGAGTTGCTCGGACTCTACCATCTGACCACGGTCCCCCTGGTTGGTAAACTGAGAGCCGTAGGGACAGGGATCCGGAGGGACGCGGCAGGCACCCGTGATCTGCCCGCCCGCCTGCCGGCTCGCTCCCGGGCCGGACAGCCCGCCCTCTGTGCTGACTTGGGCTTCGTTACCTACAGGGGCTCCTCGCACAGGGGGCTTTTCAGAGGAGCTAGGGTGCCACGCAGGGAACACAGACGGCTCTGTGTAAGGCCATCGTGCTTCAATAGAGCTTGTTTCCACGGGGCCATCCCTGGTCAGGGTGGGGTGTCAGTCACTCGGCGTAGTTGGGCCATTATGTAAATCAAGTCCACAGATGGGCCTACACAGACCAGGCCCTGTGCCCTGATCGAGTCCCTCCTTTCTGGGAGGTCTATATCGGAGCCAGAGAAGAGAGGGAAAATACAAGAGACTGTCAGCAGAGAAAGCAGACGTTCTGAGCACCAGCCAGGCCCAGCTGCGCGGGGCTGCTCCGGGAGAGAAAGGCGCCGCCACCCCAGGGTGGGGCGTCGGGGGAGCCTGGCGGAGGAAGCCGAGCGCCCGCGTGGGAAGCCGCGCGGTCCCGCGGCGGAGGGCGGCTTACCAGCTGCCGCTGCTTGGGGGGCAGCGCGGGCGGCGGCGCCAGCTCCTGCGGGGCCTCAGTGCTGAACGAGTCGTTGAAGCCGTACACCTCCATGAGGAGCTTGTTCTTCTGCTGGTAGATGTGCTCGTTTTGCGGCGTCTGGTAGAACATGGACGGCTGCGGCTCCGAGTAGTCCTCCAGCAGCTGCATGTAGGCCAGCACTGCGGGGTACACGGGGGTGGGGCGGCCCGGCGTTACTGGAGGCGGCTGCGGGGCACACGGCCGAACCCCCCCACCCCAAGAGGGCCCCTCCCTGCGTGGCCAAGCCATGGCCAGGCCCAAAGAGCACCCCGCCCCCACTGCCCGGCACCACCATGCTGCCCAACCAAAACCCACGGCCACACAGCAAGGGTGAGACCCACGCAGGCTGTGGCTCTGGCCGACAGGGACGCATCTGTGCAGGCTGGGTGACTCACACGCAGCACTGTGGTGGAGAGGGGACAATGGGGGAGGCCAGGACCTGCGGGAACTCTCTGTGCTTTCCACTCAGTGGTGCCCTGAACCTAAAACCACTCTAAAAAAACTGTGTTTAACCGCTTTAAAAAGTAATCTATTTTTTAAAGAGCATATGGGGGGCCCCCCACACTCCCCGAAAAGCCCTGGGGTTTCCTGGCACCCTGTGGTCACACCCGAGGCTAGGCACCACTTCCCACTCCTCTGACTCCAGATGCGTGTCTTCCTCCCCTCTTGAGAATACTCAGGGGTGGGTACATGTGTCCTGAGAGCAGGCTCTCACCTGCCTGTGGCTTGGCTTTCCCAGAGGCTCCACACCAACCGCCCGCCCAGCAGCCCCTCCTTGTCTCTCCATGGCATCCTCTTAGCCCTTCCCATAGTCATGAGCCACCTGTGGGACTGTCCCATGTATGCGATTTTACCGGGCACCTACGTGTTGGGCACCAGCTCAGGGGCTGGGACCAGACAGGGGCCAGCAAGCAAGTCTTCTGTTCGTGTGAGGCTCACACCCTCCCAGGAGACAGAAAACAGACCGATGTGAATGCTGGGGACAGAGAGTGAAGTGGTTCGGTGCTGGGGGCTTCTCCAGAACACAGATAAGCTACCTGAGGCCTTCCACACCGAGGCTACAGTCTGGGCAATGGCAAAGGCCGGGCCAGGGGTCCAGAAAGCAGAGCACAGCCAGAAAGGGGAGGCTAGAAGGAGTGAGGCAATCACTTGGGAGGGTCAGGAGAGGCTGTGCGAACAGGGCAAGGAGGCTGACCTGCTGCCATACCGGTGGGAACCTATGAAGGGTTCCCCTCCAGGCTGGCCTGGAGCTGTTTTGTCTTGAGAAAACAACTCTGGGGCCATGAGGTTTTTAGGTGACAGACTGTGGTTTGGCTGGAGGTGGGGAGGTTGATGTGATTCAGGATACATGTTCAAAGCAGATAAAACAGGATTTACTGCCTGTCCCTGGAGAATTGAAGCTACCGGAGGACAGGGCCGGCCCATGTCTGCGGCTGGGCCACTGGCGCCCGACACACAGCAGGGTCCACAGACATCTCTAGAATGAATGAGTGAATGAAACACACCTCATCCATCCCGACCACGTGACTTGCTAAACCAGGCGATGGCCCTGGCTGGGTCTTGTGAAGCCCCCACTGGGTAAACATAAAGTAACAGCCACTAAATCCCACTCTCCCTTCGAGCCCAGAGGCTACAGAACATCCTGGTGGGAGGCTCAGACCGCGAGGAAAACACGTGCACCATCTCCTCCCTAAACCTCCTTCAGAAAGCCTGGCCCTGGCCACCTGCTCCCCTGGGGTAGCTCTGCCCTAGCTTCAAGGCTGCCCAGGGGCAGGCTCCCTGACTCAGCCGGGCACTCTCACGGCCAGGAAACCCAGCCACAGACGCCAGCAGGGGCCTCGACCGCCCGGGGAGGCAAAACATCTCAAGGACCCCGCCTCGCAGGCACCCTGTCCCGAGGCAGGCGCGGAGCCCTCAGCCCTTGCATGGGGGCATCAGGGTGCACCTCACTCCCACCTGGGGTTAGTGATAGGAGCCCCAACTCCAGAGCCAGGCCCTTCTACACGCTCTACAGGTTCGGGGCAAGTGACAGCTCGGAGTTGACTGTGTCCGGCCCTTTGGCCCCCTTATGAAGCTGGGAGGCTGGGTGGGAGCAGGCCTTCTCTAATCCCCCTCTCTCTGTGGGACTGGAACCCACATTTGACGCTCCCCACAGCGGAGTCCAGGTCAAGGCTGGCCTGAAGTGCAGCACCGCCCTCCCGTTCTCTTGGAGGTGGAGGGAGCTCCCTCTAAGCCTGAACAAGTCTGTGTTTGCAGGGAAAACATGCTTATGACCGCTTGATTCGTGAGTGAGGAACGAGGGCTGATCAGTTCATTTGCAGGGCTGCGGCACACACACACGGAGGGAGCTAGTGACGAAGGGAGCTGGGAAGACAAAGGGTCCCAGGTTTGGAAGCAGAGGAACTTAGGTGCGTGTATGGGCAGGCACAGGAATGGCAGCGGTCGAAGGTACCATCCAGAGCCGGGCGCTGTCCTCCTGGGTCACATCACAAGTGCTGGGAAGCAGCACCTGCTGGGTACCCAGAAAAAGTGTCCAGTGCAATTCTGCACAGCTCCGTTCTATATTTTCACATGGCCTGAGGCTGGGGGCTTAACTGGAGACCCTCAACTGGGCTCAAGGTAGACAAGGAACACCTTTCTCTGCCGTGTCTTTCTGGTGCCCTTCACTGGAGGAGGGGGTACAAAGTCATCTCCTTTATTTCAAAGAATCAATAAGAATGTCTTCACTCCAGCGAGTGCAGAGCAGAGCTTGGCCCTAACTGGCGGGTAGGAAAAGGTGGTCTCGCCCAGGAGGGCACCGCTGCCTGAAGGCAAGTGTAGCTCGCCACCCCCTCGAGCCTCGTGATGCTCTTCTGGCGTGCTGCACGACCGACACCATGAGGTTCTAGAGGAAGGTGCGAGCCTTATAAGGGGATCCCAAATGCCCACCGAGTGCTCCCTAAAAAGACTGAACGTAAGCAGCTTCGCCTGACTAAAACAGGAAGTTTCAGTAAGAACTGACCTTCCGGATGTCTAAGCGCTTGCTGGGACCTGCTCACCAAGCACAGAGACAGTAGTGAGGTTCACGACCTTCGAGAAATAAGGAAGACCAGATCCGTTTCAAAGGCAGCACGGGAGCTCCAGAAGAGAGCAGCGGGTGTCACTGGGCATGCTCGGCAGGCTGGCGCTCCAGCTGGCACCGAGGACTGCGGGCAGTGATCAGGAAGCTCGTCAGGCACAACGGGCTCGGAGGGCTGCCCTCAGCAAGAGGACCCTCAGGACATCAGTGCCCCCAAAGGAGAAGGACACTATGATATCAAGACTGTGTACATATGAGCTTTGTCCAGTGTTAGCCAAACACAAGAGATGATGATTCTCTCCCTCCTTTCCCACAAAGCAACTCTGCAAGTTTTCCACCAGGTCAAAGAAGGAACTCCTCAAGGGTCGCCACGGGGAGTGAAGAGTGGACTGGAGACTAGGACCAGGCCTCAAGTTTGGGGGGTCCTTTCATGGGGCCCCAAAAAAGACCTCCTGCTGCCTGGAAGTCACTACTGAAACCCATACGGTCTCCACAAAGGAGGGCCGGATCCCTTCCTCCTCAGTGTGTTGGAAAACGCAGGCCTGCTCCGAAACCCAGATCTGCCACCCCCCTGCCAGCTGTCACCGGCAAGGCTCAGTTCTTTTGCACTCCAGTTTCTTCTATAAACCACGCCAGTATCACTGCCTGAAGCCAGTGAAGACTAAACACGATGGTGTGTGAAGCTTTAGCCCAGGGCGTGCCACACCTTAAGCTCTTAGTAGTTTTTCAAGGTTTGCAGACACAAGTGCTACAGACAGTGATGGAAGAGATAAAGCCTAAAAATAGACGTCTAAATAGAAAATATTTTTAGCCACTGGAGACTTGAGGCTGTTGGAAAGGGAATAGCGGCTGCCTCCCTTCCTCCTCCTCTCTGCAGCCCCACATAAGGGCCACGGCCCACACCTGCTCTAAAAGCCGAGAAGGTGAGGCCCCTGGCTCCACGGCCAGGCCACACCAGGCACCTGCTGCAGTGTGCACGGATCAGCCGCACCCTGCGTTCTGGGTTCAGAGGATTCCAGGGAGAGGAAAGGGTATGAGCCCAGAGCGGCACGCTACTTGAGTCAAGGTGAGGGGGGTCGAGGGGAAAGGCCAACAGCTCTCCAGACACTTGCCAGTGCGGAGGGAGAGACTGAGGGGAACATCCCCGGTGCTGCCGCTGGCGGTCCCCGCTAGTAGCACCCTGTTTCTCACAAGTGAATGGCAGATGGGAATGACCTCATCAGCCCTCCAGAGCCAGCTCTCCCTCCAGCTGGGGGACGAGACCACCCTAGGCCAGGACGCAGCAAGGAGCTGGGAGACAAGGCCCACCCAGCCACCCTCGGCGCCATCCCTGCTGCATTAACCACTCTCCCCTTCTTCGAGGGTGGACCCCATGCCAGCTGGGGCCAATCAGATGCTCCCACTCGGGAACTGGAAAGGAGAGTTAGTTCCTAGTTGGTGGTCGTTCTCTGCTGGGTGCTTCAGCTGAGGCCAGGGAGCCCAGGGCTGTGTGGCCCAGGTGACCACACAAACATCCAAATGGTGACGGCCAGTCCGCCAGACAGATGGAGCAGTGGGCCAGTGGAATGGGGTACGGGGCGGGGCAGAGAGAGCTGGACGCCAGCAGGAAAACAATCTCTACTTGGGAATTTGATGGCAAAGTGACAGTCGGAAAATATTCCAACTACAAAAACCTAAAATTTCAGCTCCACGCCTGGACCCTGGTAATAGCACAATTACAAATATGCAGTCTAAGAAACGTCCTCAGCAGCTCCGACCAAGCAGCCTCGGGTTCTCATTCCGTGACAGTCCCTGTCTGCAAACAGAAGGCGGGCAGGGGATGGGGTGGGGGCGGGGCGCACCAGGGACCTCTCTGAACGACAACCCTGCACACTCTCAGGGCTCCTTGGAAACCCCTCTGTGGGCACGGTGAGCTCTAACTCAATTCAAATGTCCATCCTGCTTTAGCCATATGTTGCCGTAACGCTGTCCTGAAGCTGTGACCCTCACTTACTTCTCTGTCGCTGGGTGTTCAGGCCAGACACTCAGGGCCCTTTGGCGGCCTGAGAGCCGAGAGAAGCCGTAAGAGAGGTCGGCTTAAAAAGCTCTATAAACCATCACCAGGACTGACAAAACAAGGCTCCCAGAAGTGTCCACATACCGCTGGCCCCAACTTTTATGAAATTATGAGGCTGCTCGTTTGATTCTGGCCACACGCTTACATGCGCAGATCAAACGCACCCGCATTTTGGGCCACAGAGTGTGCTTCCAGACAACAGCTCGACGAAAGCTTACTGTGTTTGTTTTTCTTCTCTGGTAGAGGAGGCGGTTTTTCTGGGTCACCTGTTGACTCAGGAACAGTGAAATCACCCACAAATTCGACAGAGGCTGAGGACCCTCCTTGCTGAAAGGGGAGAATAGCAGCAAAGGGCGTGAAGGGGACGGATGGGACCGAGGCTGGGTTCGGCAGGTCGTCCTCGGAGATGTTGTCATACTGGGAGGGGTGCCGCTCGTAGGACACTCGGCAGCCAGAACTGTCCGTGGTCTGAGAGGCCGCACTCCTGCGCTTCTTCTCAGGGAGGGCGGGCGGCATGTCCATCTGCTGTCCTGCGGCCGACGGCCCCTCTGGAGGTGCTGGAGGCAACTGGAAAGGATGGCCAGGAAACGGAGACCCAGACTCTCCCAAGGACTCCGGCAACGGGCTAAGGTTACAGGCCACTTGCTGAGGTATCTGGTCTGCGTTAGAGAGGTCTTGCTGAAGGAACTCGTAGTCCGGATCGTAGTGATCTGCATTCACGACAGGAAAAACATGACTGTCAGCCGCAAGGCCCCGCAGAAAGCAGCGATCCAACTCTCTGCTTTACCCGATCCCATTCACTCGTGCGCGACACAAACACGATTTCTGTCTCATCTCTACCCTGTATTTTATATTCCTCATTCTTCTCCCTGCTTGAACACAAAAAAGCAAGCAGGAAAATGGCTGTTTGCTACCCTGTTCTTTGTATTTTCCTGTATTTTTTGAATTTCTTATTTAAAAAAAGAAAGAAAAATGCATGACCACTGTAGAAAATGTGGCCAAAATAGAAAAAAAAAAATCATCCACAATCCCATAATTTAAGTATAATCTGTTTACATTTTAATGTATTTCCTTAAAAGTCTTTTTTCCCCCTAGGATTCTTTTTTTAAAAAACCCAACTGAGAAAATACCATGTGGGTGGTCTTAGATTTTGTCCGTTGATCAGTGTATCGTGACTGATTTCTCAGACTCGTGTGTCATCCCACCACACACACGTACAACTCCTCTGCTTTCCTACCACTGAGTTTCTGGTCTACCACTCCTCCCAATGATGCTGACATTAACGTCCTTGGATCGAAATCCTGCCACAGATCTCTAAGATAAACTCTCCAAGTGGAATATCGAGCTCATGGGACACAAACAGCTTAATGCTCCTGACACCTCCTGCCCAGCTGCCTTTTGGACTTGCCTCTGCCCCCTCCCCGATACCTTGCCCCCCCACCCCCGCCCACACCCACCAGGAGGTCAGCACGCGCTGCTCGCTTGCCTTTGCCCTCCGTCCGAAGTCGTTAGGGGCTCTCCCCTTCACCATCCCCTTCAGCACCCATAGCTCTGAGCACAGGTGACTCCCATGTGGGCGAAGGGAATGAGACTGCACCCTGCAGATGGACCATAATGACAGCTACCACCTGAGCTTCTCCTCCGTCGATGCACACGGTTATTTCACTCAAACGCCCCACCTCCTTGAGAGAGGTGGATGTCGGTAGCCTCACTCTGCAGATGAGGAAGCAGACTCTGACTGAGCTGGCCAGGGCTGTATGACCACTGCCTGACCTCCCTGTGTGACCCCAAAGCAGCCATCAAGGAACGATGAGACAGGAGGTGTGACCAGGACGCCTGGTGCTCACCTAGAGTTTCACAGCTTGTATTCCGGGAGCACTGGCCGCTGTCCCTGTCCAGAGAGGACAGCTGCTCATCTGACTTGCTGAGCTTGCCTATGCTGCTGCAGGGGGACAGGCGGGGCGACTCCCCGCCGTACGAGTGGCTGCCTCCTGAGAGTCGCCTCTGTGTGTAACAGTCCACGTCAAAATCCTCGTGTGGAGAAAGAAAGACAAGCAAGTCACTTCCGAGAAACGGTGGCAGGGCCCAGGGGAGAGGGGTCAGCACATTTAGTTAGAGGAGACTGCCGCACTCCGAAACCGGATGGAACGGCCCATCTTTGATGTAAGCAGTAAAAAGCCAGGTCTGTGACTTCCGAGAAAGGAGCCTTGCTGACTGCTGGGTCTGTGTGGCAAGCAAGCACCCTGGGGCCAGGCTCAGATGTCTTCAGGAGACACTCCTAGCTCCAGCCTCTCCACCCCTGCCCCCTCCGCGACGAGGGAACCTCGACAAGGTCCTGTAGTCCTGCCGAGAGAGGAACCATCCTCTCATTGCCAGGGGCCGAAGACCAGCATGATCAGGGCTCCTAAACCCAAAGCCTTCCTCTGCCTTGCCAGACGGGGCTACATTACCTGCCTATTAATTCCAACAGGCAAACTGGAGCCGCTGGTGGCTCGACTCATGGGGGCAACGACAGCCACTCGGGTTGGGGATGGAGCTGACTGTCTTTTCTTCGGCGGCAGTGCCGGTGGAGGACTGAAACAGATCAAGAGATCCAATCAAACCAGACAACCCAAACGACAGCTCTTTACGAAGATGTGAGGATGCAGAATGTGGGAATCTTTCATTATCAGACACTTCCCGTCTACTTCTCACACTTTCAACTCCTGTCCCACTCCACCGCTGCCAAAATAAACCCATCAATGCCAAAACCCTAAAATCAGAAAAATCCTTTCTTTTCCTTCCATCGTAAGTTGTACTAAGGCTAAAAGGCACTCCACTGGGAGTTCTTGGAGCGTGTGGCAAGAGAAGGCTCTGCGGCCAGGCTCACGTCCTCCACAGATGCCTTCCCAAGGAAGATCAAGATTCCAAGGCTTCTAAGGAGCAAGGGGCTCGGTTCCAAGTTCTCACCCTCATGGCACCACCTTCACTTCTACATCCTTTCATCAGATTATGCCTTAAGTCCAGAGGGTGCCAGAAATATAAAAATTACCTGTTATCAACCACCCGAATGCCAGGTAACGGGGGCTTGGGGGGTGCAACCTCCTCATCCGTAGAGTCTGGGAGAAGCTCGGTCGACTGGGACAGGCCGCTTGTCTTGTTTAGGATCTCCATCTCTCGATCTGTCAGGGGGAGCTCAGACTGGCTGGAGAATGAGAAGCACCTGGGATTACAGAAGGTTACAGAGCACACACAGGTCCTGGGAGGGGCAGAAGGGGACCAGGGCATAGAAACAATGCGGGCCACTGGGCCGAGGACCAGGAGCCCTGGACACTGTGCCTGGAGCTCCATGGCAGAGGTGGGGTTTCGAGTCTGGTTTGATCACCAACACACACAGCAGGAGCCTGGCCAAGTCCCCCTGACCCATCTCAGTTTCCTTGTCTGTAGGAGGAAACGTCAGACTACGTGACCTAAAGGCTCTCCAAATGCTCCAAACTGATCTTTTATATTTTTTCTAGGCACTTATGCTAGAACCTGTTGCAAGGCCTTAAAACTGTCCACATGGCCCTCAGTTTACCTTCCTGACAAAGCTAAATGCTCTCAAGCCAAATCCCCCAAATCTAACCCTGCCAAGTCCGTCCCAGCAAGGAAAGGAAGGTCCTCCAGAAAAGCACGGGCGTGGGTCACGTGACGCAACACGGTATCCCGAGTCACGTGCAGTGTAAGCCTTGAGATCAGGCAACAATTCAAAGTGCGCGTCAGCTTTGCATACTTCGAAGTAATACGGGTACCCACCCCAAGGTCGCCGAGAAAGGAGGACAGGCCTCAGACAGGCCTCAAACAGCCTGCCTACTCTGGCCCCCACTCTCTCCCAGTGACTGGAGGGTTTAGTCAGAACTCACCCATCGGGTTTGCAGGCTGGGGAACTGGGTTTCACTGGGCTGGTTGGAGACGGATGCCCCTGCTTCTCGATGGTAAGTCTGACCAGCTCCTAAACCCCACACAAGAGAGAAGTCATGAGGCGCTAAGAAAGCTCCTTGCTGCTTGGTTTCCCCCACAAGGTAGGTCACTGGTGTGTCCTCCGCCGCCTAGTCTCTTTCTGTGCCTACACATTTTCGGCATACTAGAAATGCAAGTACTATTTGACTTAGGTAAGCTGCACGACTTCCCCAAATGTCCCCTACCCTCCAAAAATACCTTCAGAGCATGTTGAGAAGTTTCAAACGCATAATGGCACTTCCTCTTGGAAGGGGGAAATGACGAACCCCAGGGTCTCAGAATGACTAAGTTCAATACACAAATTAAATCGCAGTGGAACCAATTCCCAGTCAGTTTGTGGTGGGAGAGCTCCTTTTTAGTTCCTAAAAATCACTGCATTCTGTAACATGCAGGACGCTGCCTATGCTGAGGAGCAAACCTCTGGCACCAGGAAGGTGGTTTCCCAAAGTGAGCCACCGCTGGGAGTGGTGGCAGCTGGTGTACGGGGATGACCGGCTGGCATCTTTGTCGAAGGACAGAAAGTTAACAGCGTATCACCCAGCAGAGACGTGACTTAGGAAAAAAAATATATATTTTTAAAGATTTTATTTATTTATGTGACAGAGAGAAAGAAATCACAAGTAGGCAGAGAGGGAGGCAGAGAGAGAGCGGGAAGCAGGCTCCCTGCTGAGTGGAGAGCCTGATGCGGGGCTCGATCCCAGGACCCTGAGATCATGACCTGAGCCGAAGGCAGAGGCTTTAACCCACTGAGCCACCCCAGCGCCCAGGAGAAAATACTTTAATAGAAAACAAAAGAAAAAAGATCAGGACCTACTTTTTTTCCCAATTAGAATGCAGTTTCCCCCAGTGCGACGGGTTCTGATGATCACAAATCCTGAGCATTTCTGCCACTCTCTCCGGTCCAGCTGCCCCGCCCCAGTGTTATTTCACTATTTCTTTCTTTCTTTTTTTTTTTTTTTTTAAAGATTTTATTTATTTATTTGACAGAGAGATCACAAGTAGGCCGAGCAGCAGGCAGAGAGGTGGGGGAAGCAGGGTCCCTGCTGAGCAGAGAGCCCAATGTGGGGCTCGATCCCAGGACCCTGAGACCATGACCGGAGCCGAAGACAGAGACGTAACCCACTGAGCCACCCAGGTGCCCCAATTTCACTATTTCTTAGAATACTTTTGCCTAGAACTCGACTTAAACGGGACCACTGCAGTATGTACTCTTCGGTGCCCATCTGTTTCTGAAGAGCCTTATGGAATCTAGTTCCTGTGCCTTAAAATCCAGCCACTGACTGGGGACAATCCGACAGTTTTTTGTCTGCTCACGGGGCTGAGCCACACCAGCACTGCTTTTATGACTTCGCATCCCCGACAGAAGAAACTGTACCCATTACCAGCCCCTCCTCACTTCCCCCAGCCTCCGCAGCCCTACTCCGTGTCATGATTCTGTTCCTCCTCCTGCTCAACGTGACGCTCCATGTTTGTGTGTGCACGAGCGCACCGTTCCTTTTCCTTGCTGAGTTGTATTTCTACGCAGGGACAAACCTCCCTTTCCTTATCCATTCTCCCGTTGATGGGCATCTGGACAGGACCTACTTGTGTAGGGAAGGGGCGGTTCTAGTGCTGAAGCTACGGAGGCGGCAGCAAGGGGCGTGAATAGGCAACGTGTCCCTAAATCAGCCTGCAAAGCCTCTCTACACTCAAAACGCCACACGCAGGAATCACAACGTAGACAGTAACAACAGAGTTAATATCCTCCCTAGAGCAAGGGTTCTTCTTCTTCTTTTTTTTTTTTTTTAAAGATTTTATTTATTTGACAGAGAAGGAACACAAGCCGGGGGAGTGGGAGAGGGAGAAGCAGGCCTCCGGCTGAGCAGGGATCCCGATGCGGGGCTCGATCCCAGGACCCCGAGATGATGACCCAAGCCAAAGGCAGAGGCTTAACCCATTGAGCCATGCAGGCACCCCAAAACAGCCCTTATTTTCTTGTTTTTGTTTCTTTGCATCTTGTCAATGTTCTACAGTGAATATGTATTACTTCGGAAATGCTAATTAAAAAAAGAAAAATACAGCCAACGGCACACACAGTACGGCTGGAAGCTACACGGCCTGGCCTGTGACAGCCGGCGCCCGTTCTTGGGGAAAGAGAGGAGCAAGATCTCTAAGAGTCGAGGACTGGAGGAAGAAAGAACGTCCGTATGCTCCTGTTACCACAACTTAGGAGCTGAATGTGATCTCACGGACGGCGAAGACCAGCTACCTCGCTGATGAGTACGGACAGGCTAGGACAGAGAGAGGGCAGACAGACGGCGTGCCGAGGAGAGAGCGGGCAGTGGGAGGACGGGAGACGCAGCTCGTCCGCAGGCTGCACGGACGAGCATCGCAGAGTCAGAGGGGTCACAGGGCCAGACCAGAGTCCTGAAAGACGTGCGTCCATGCTCCCTCTTCTCTACCAACAGGGCGAGAGAACAGAGAGAAGTCTGCATACTTGCATCTGCTGGTGTAGGAAAAAATTCCACTAATTCTTCATTGATTCACAAACAATTATAATTAGAATGTCATCTTTCTGGAGAGGCAGCTGTGTGAACTCAACTAATGAAATGGCACAAGAGGCCCGGAATGACAGGCACATATGTGCAGGCGCGTGCCCGAATTCCAAGAGGACGACACGGATGGCAGTAGCTCCCTTACTCCGGTTTGCTGGCCTCGGCCTGCAGAGGATGTAGAAAGGGCAGGCAGCCTTTCTACCCCACCAGCCCTCTGGGCCGAACAGTGAGACGAAGGACAGCCCTAAGAAGGTGCACATCCCTGGCTCCTGGGGAACTCCCCTAAGCTCACTCAAAGCTGACCGTCTGTAAGTGGCAAGAGCCCGACACCTCGAGCTAACGGCAGAATTTCTGAGCGGGATGTCAGACTTGGCAGTCCTCGTGAGGCACAGGTTTGAAAGGACGGGGAAGGTGGTACCAAACCGTGTCCATAGCCGGTGACCGGAAGCAGACGGCTACCCGGTCACTGAAAAGCGGTTTTCAAAAGCCAAAAGGCATTTGGAAAGGTGTCTTTCTAAGTGTATCGTACTTACTTTGGTGCTCATTTTATTCATGCTGAAAATGATCACAGGGCTGCTTCTATCTCAAATGACCTTCATCAATTCCAAGTATGAGCTGTGGTGCTCTCGGAAGAGAGGAACGATCCCATCTGCTCCCGTCTGCTCTCTGGCACTAACACAGAGCTCCTGCCTGCCAGAGCAGACAGAGGCCGCACACGAAAGGGCTCCTTTTGAGATGTGCCCATGGGCACCGCTCACATCATATGACTCACTGCCGTGCTGCCCCCACCACAAGGACACCAGACCGTGGCTGATGTCCTCCAAGTTCCCATACGCTGTCACTAAAAAGTGCACCGCCCTGCCATCAATGGCCTGCCGTGCTGACCCCGTTCTCTCGCTGTCACCCTCAACCTGTCCCCTTGTTGTCTATCCTCCATCACTCTCTGGCTCTGCAAGAACTCTAGGTTCAGGTCATGACACGGGGCCTCTACTGATGAGCTTGCTCTAGGGTAAGTCCTTCACTGAGCCCACTGGACACGGCCGCCAGCGGGACTTCCCTGGACTGAAGCAGCAGAATGAAATCACAGGGTGTCTAGGTTTTTTATGCTGACAAAAAGGGACCTTCCCACCCACATCCTAAGTGTGAGGGGTGTGAGGCAGCAACAGCCAAGCAAGTGTCCTCCCTCTCCCATGCAGTTAAGAACAGGCGGTCCTCTGCAGGCAAGGTGCACGTGTGGGCTACGTGGTGAGTGACTCCTGGTGTTGGCTCTCGGGGGTTCAGTCCAGCCACAAGGCACTGGCTGGCATTCCTCAAACAGTCTAAAGATGAGGCAGCCAGAGGAGACCTCAAATTCGGTGTGAGAGGAAAGAAAATGAAGACACCGTTTTGATGAGGGTAAGTGAAAACTCCGGTGGTCGTGAAGGTGAGTTGGAAGTACCAGTAAAATCTCCAGATGTTTTGTCTCAGAGAAACCACGTGACCCGGCAGCAGCAATGAGAACGGCGGCCTTCAGTGAGGTCTCCACCTCCATCGCCCAGTGAAGGGCACCCCAGCTCCTTCAAGGAATGGCTGACTCCAGGTCCGTGTGAGAAATGGACAAGATGACTTACAACTCAATAATAGACAAGCCAATGAAAAACCGGGCAAAGGATTCGAGCAGACATTTCTCCAGAGAGATATGTAAATGGCCAAGAAGCACACGAAACAGACTCAGCACCGTTAGCTGTCAGGGAAGTGCGGATCAAAGCCACCGTGTGATCCCACGTCAAGCCCACCGAGAGGGCCGCGTCAAGGGACAAGCGGGAACCAAGAGGATGCGGAGAAGCTGGAGCCGCTGGAACCCGCAGACGCTGCTGGCGGGACAGAGAGCTGACACAGCTGCTTTAGAAGACACAGGAAGCAACGCAGAGTCACCGTGTCACCCGGCGACTGTGCTCCGTGGTGTGTAACCAAGGGAAAGGATGATACACATCCACAAAAAGCCGGGTACGGGAGTGCTCGCGGTAGCATTACTCCTTATCACCAAAAGGTAGGAACAACACAGCCATCCACATGTCCACAAACAAGACATGGGACAGCCACACAATGGGGTATTATTTGGCAATAAAAAGAACACACGCTCTCACATGGGTGAACTCCAAAACCATAACACGGACAGGAGCTAGTCACACGAGGCCACAGAGGATCCGACTCCCTTAACAGGCAAATCTACAGAGACAGAAAGTAGTCCAGAGGCCACCTAAGGCTGGGGGGATGGTAAGAAATCAGAGAGGGTCTGGGGAGAACATAAAGGATATGAGGTTACTTCCCGAGGGGATGAACATGTTCTAAAATTGATTACGGTGATGGTTGTACAATCTGTGAACATACCCGCCCCAAATCACTATATTGTACATTGTAAGTGAGCGAATTCTACGGTCTGGGAATGAGATCTCAATAAGGCGTTTCCTGCCACCACCACACCCAAAGAAAATAACTATCAGAGGAGCCTTGAATATCTTTTCATATCAAAAGGTAAAAAAAAACAGGAAATCCCTTTTACGAAGATGGCGCCGAAAGCTAAGAAGGAAGCCCCTGCCCCTCCCAAAGCCAAAGCCAAAGCAAAGGCTTTGAAGGCCAAGAAAGCGGTGCTGAAAGGCGTCCACAGTCACAAAAAAAAGAAGATCCGCACATCACCTATGTTCCGACGACCCAAGACTCTGCGTCTCAGAAGGCAGCCCAAATACCCTCGAAAGAGCGCCCCCAGGAGAAACAAGCTTGATCACTATGCCATCATGAAATTCCCCCTGACTATTGAGTCAGCCATGAAGAAAATAGAAGACAACAACACACTTGTGTTCATTGTGGATGTCAAGGCCAACAAGCACCAGATCAAACAGGCTGTGAAGAAGCTCTATGACACTGATGTAGGCAAGGTCAACACCTTAATTAGGCCTGATGGAGAGAAGAAGGCATACGTTGGGCTGGCCCCTGACTATGATGCTTTGGATGTTGCCAACAAAATTGGGATCATCTAAACTGAGTCCAGCTGGCTAAATCTAAATACAATTTTTTCATGATTAAAAAAAAAAAAAAAAGGTAAGAAAACTCTCAAAGACCTCTAGGGTCATGCCACAGGGAACTCAGGAAACAGCCTGAAGATGTCTTCAGCAGCCCAAGATGAGGCCTGGGCACCAGGAAGAGTGACAACCACAGTGGACTGGAGCATGACCAGCACAGGCACAGCCACGAGTTCAAGATCGTATCTGAAAAAGCTCGGTTGACTGGTTGTGCTAAAGGATGCGAGGAAGGCACTTGGGTGGCTCAGTGGGTTAAAGCCTCTGCCTTCAGTTCAGATCATGATCTCAGGGTCCTGGGATCGAGTCCCACATCGGGCTCTCTGCTCGGCAGGGAGCATGCTTCCCCCTCTCCCTTTGCCTGCCTCTCTGCCTGCTTGTGATCTCTGTCTGTCAAATAAATAAATAAAATCTTAGAAAAAAAAAAGGATGCTAGGAAACACTCACTATTTTGATAACTGGTAAATAAGGGAAGGAACTGAGTTCCGATCCTGCCTTTCCTCTGAGAATTAGAACTCAGAATAACTACAAACTGGCGCAGGAAGTCTGCCGTTTAAGTGTACCCGGCTGAGTGATGATGGATCGATGGCACAAAGAATTAGAATGTCATCATTTTGCAACTCCTAATCAATGACTGGATCTAGGCAGTAACCATCAACAGCTGTTAACATCGAAAAGGGAAAGATGCCTTCTGATGGAGGTGCAAGGAGGCCTAGGAAGGACTCAAAATACGAAAACCTGAATCTGATTCAGCCTCAGTTCTAGGGACAGAGGCACATGCTGAACAACACGGCACAGGTGCCATCAGCACAACCCAGAATGTGGGAGACTTTCAGCAGCAGCAACCAACCCCTTCTAAAAACAAGTAAGTTACAAGGACAAAAACACAGAGAAAAGAGATCTTTAGAAACATTTTGATGAACTAGTAAGTATATGAGCTTTATTTTTTTCTAAAAGATTTTATTTATTTACTTGAGAGAGCACAGAGGGACAGGGAGAGGGAGAAGCAGGCTCCCCACTGAGCCGGGAGCCCAATGCGGGACTTGATCCCAGGACCCTGGGATTATGACCTGAGCCGAAGGCAGAGGCTTCACCACCGGCTTCACCACCCGAGCCACCCAGGCACCTGAGGTGCACAAGCTTTACTAGGTAGGAAACTACATGCTGTGTGTGGGCCAGGTCCAGCCCAGGGCTTGCTTCCTGTGAGTCCTCAAGGTAAGAACACTTTAAGGGGGTGCCTGGGTGGCTCGGCTGGTTAAGGGTCTGGCTCTTGATTTTGGCTCGGGTCATGGTCTCAGAGTCTGGGATCACGGCCCCCCACCCCACCCCTTTTAGGCTCCGCACTAGGCAGGGAGTCTGCTTTTGGCCCTTGCCCTCTGCCCCTCCCCCTGCTCATTCTCTCTCTCTCTCAAATAAATAAAATCTTTAAAAAGTCAAAATGAACAAACACCAAAGAATGTGCAACAGAAACCAAAATACAGCAGAAACCACCGTAGCCTGAGAGACTTCAGATATGTACTACCTGGCCCCTCGCAGAAGAGCCTGCCTTGGCCTGGAGCTACACACGAAGGCATTTACAGACGCTAGGACAGACGGCTGGGATTTGCTTCCCATGGTGCAGGGGAGTGGGCTGAGGTACAGCAGACTGGCCGTGAGCAGACAACTGTGGAAGCTCTGGGACGGGCCTTCACTGTCCTGTCTTTTCCTCTGCAAATGCTTGAAGTTTTTCATCAAAAAATGTAAAACAGGCTGAATGAGGAATAAAAGAGATGGCTTATTTGAGATGTCAGTGTGGTAGTGACAGCTAGTTGCCCCATGCTACCTGTTCTTCCTTATTAACAGAATTTCAGCGGGGCATGTGACCAAATTCTGGTCAATAAAATGTGAGTGAATTTTGTAAGGCCTTTGAGGAAGCATCCTTAAATGGAGAAGACACACCTTCTTACTCTCTCTTCCTCCTCGTTGGCTGGAATATAGTCATGATGGATGGAGACTGAGCAGTCATTCTGGACCATGAGGTGGAATCCACGTGCTAAGGATGGCAGGAAAGCAAGAGGGGAGAGGACCACATCCCTGACCATTGTATGAAAATGTTATTTAGCCTCAGACTACCTAGCAGACTGTGAACTTCTTGTACACAAAGGAGAAATAAAGTTTTATCTTTTAAAAACCAGTATTATTTTGGATTTTCTTGTAGTCAAACCTAATCCTAACTGATACGGTCAGAAAAATATTTCTTTTGAAGTATTCCTGTTGTAGGTGAAAATTCTAATACAGAGAAACCTCACTGAAGTGGAGCTGGCTGGCTAGAAAGGGGAACCACACCACTGCCAACAATTTCAGGAAGCACCATCACTGAGAGACCCCAGCCGAGGTCCCCGCCATAGGAGGGAATCATGACTACAGACCCAACAGGGAAGGAAGGACGCTGCTTCTCCAAAGAGAAATCCACTACCCCAGCAGCTCAGCAGTGAGGAACTGCCCTTGCCCCGAAGTCCTGCTTCTCCAGGGAACTTCCGTCCAGGACCGCCCCTCCCAACGTCCTGTCCATAAAGCCACGCTCCCCTCCTTTCTTTGTTGGACTTGCCTGTGGTTTTGCCATAGCTTGCATGTCCCGAACTGCAATTCTCTGCTCTTCCCAACTAAACCCATTCTGCTAGTAAAATAACTTTTATTTTTTTAGGTTAACATATACGAAGGGAGTCTGGCGTGGTACATAAGTCCAGTTTTGGGAGTGATAGTCAGACAACGGAACTGCAGGTGTTCCACATTTTCCTCCAAGGCTGTCAGCATTAGAAGGTTTAAAAAAAAAAAAAAGTGTGAGCGTAAGTGGTGTGTGTGTTGGGGGGAGCTGGAGGTCAGGGGAAGAGGCCCTCAGTCTGAGAACCGACATCCCTGGAAGGTCTGCAGAGAGGACAAAGCGGAGCCTAGGGCAGTGGGTAAGAGACTGTGCTACAGAGAGGAGAGGAGAAGCTGACATTTAGATGGCAAAGGTAGGGACAGCTGGGGCGCTGGCTGCAAAAGGAAGACCCAGGTCTCCTGCTGGAGCCTGAGGAGCTTGGCTCCCAACAGCCAGTGCCAGGGAAAATCTGGGCCTCACATTCCTTCCTCGGGGAGTCACCATCCTCTCTGAGCCTCGGGCCCGTGAGCAGAGCACCTGCCTGGGCTAGATCGGATAATAACAGGTCTGCCTCTTGACGTGAGATGCGTGGAGAAGAGCCACACCCACTGTCAAGAACTGGTAAATGTGAGCCGTCCCAGGTACTAACGTTTCCCCAACTAACAGTACTCACCCACCGTTCATTGGACACCTCGCACTTACCAGGTACTTTATATACATTGTCTTACTTAATCCTTCTTTAGTTCTTCAGGGTAAATATTTAAAAACCTACCTGAAACTCACAGAAGTATCTTGCCCAAGCTTACGGGGCTAACAAGTGACATTTATGCAGGCCTTTAAATAATAAATGGTAAGAAACTAAATATAATATATATTATATAATATAAATATGATAATATGTAATAAATAATATAAATAATAAGCTAAACAAAGTAATCCTGTAAAACACTTCTTTAACCTTTCAAAAAAAAAGGGATTCCATTTACCAACTGAATGAGTTACTTGAAAGGTGGTGACTCAGTTTAAAGGAACGTGCCAGCACTTCTACAAGTGGGATAAAGACATTCTCAGAAATCTGTTTCGTTTCTGCAGGGCCCTGTCCCTCCCAGCCAACTAAGGCTCTCACAGCACCAGGACACAGGCTTATATGTTGTACTCAGCCTGATGGGACACCGGCAGAGAAGCCGGAGGCCAGCCGGCATGGAGGCAGGGCACGTGAGAGGCAGCTGAGGGTGATGGGGAGAGCCCAGGGCCCGGAGTCCAGCAGGCCCCGGCATGAGGCAGGACCTTGCCACTGACCAATGTCAGCCCGAGCCTGTTCCCACACCTGTGAAGGGTCAATGAGGCCCACGTTCAGAACTGTCATGAGCGTGAGGAGGGAAAAAGTGTCCGCTGCCTGTACTATGAGGCCCCAGCAACACACGCCAACAGCACAGTGTCTGGACTGCCGCTGTAGCCTGGACTGATCTGAACCCCTAAAGCTTCCAGGACTAAGCCAACTCCTGCACAACCCTCTGCCTTTGGCCTGTCTCTCCTTCTGGGAAGAGTCACTGACCACCCTAAAAAAGGAAGGTCTCCCAAAAAGGCAAGTAAGACCATATGCCATTTTTTCTTTTATAACACTCATCCTAGTTACAATTACAGATTACGACCTCTGTTGTCCCTTCCCCTCTTCCGACCGTAAGCGGCATCAGGTCCGGGACTGTACCTGTTTTACCACTATATGCCCAACGCCATCGCTCGGCCTGGTGCACAGGTGGTTTTCGATAAATGCTTCCTGAGTAAATGAAACGGAACTGAATTCAGAGCTCATCACCTACAGAGTCTTCGTTCTGGGGTAAGTATTTTAAAAACAACTGAGGAAAAGTTATTTGCTTCCAGACACAGACGCGTTCATAATCTGTCAGTTTCTCTCTCTCCCTCTCTCACTGGTTAATTTGAGAAATCAGAAATGTGTCTTTTAGACATGTCCTTCAATGGATACTGAGGTGGTTTAGTGATTCCATAACAGAAACTGACTTGGGAACGTGACAAAGCTCTACACACAGAAACCCCATCTCATCTGTTTCGGGCATTCTGACTCGTTTTGCACATCTCATTATACTCCCGCAGAAGGAAACCTGAACAATGTCACCTGCAGACTAACAACTTTCAATAAGAGCATTTCCAGAAGCCTGGACAGGAAGAGCCAGGGCCGGATGAGCCAGATCTCTACAGACTCTGAGGAAGCATGGACCCAGGTCACGTCTCCTTCTGCCCTGTTGGCCTCTGAGAGCTGCGGGGAAGATTCCATGGGACACTACGTCTGAACACGCTCCAAAATCTGGGCGGTGACAAAGGTCTTGCACAACAGCCACAATGGGCTATACCCTGAGTCTCACTGGCCAAAACAGATGACGTGGGACCTCGTAAACCTCGGGGAAAGAAGAGGGCCTGGAGCCATCAGAGGAGACTTGCTGCCACCCAGCCAAGCCTCTCTCTAGGTGAGCTCCATGACACTCCCAGTAGACGTGGCAGCTCCTTCCCTGGAGCTGGAGGCAGGGAGCCACCAAGACCTCCCCAGTCAACACAGTTCATTCTGGAGCCATTCAAAACATTAAGCAATGCTTTCTTAGCCTTTCCTCTACAGTTTTTACCATGTGTGGGGGGCTCCTTATTCCACTCTCCAGAATCAGAGGAGGCAGCTTTTAGGAATCTGATAGCAGGGTTGAGCGGAAAAGGCATTTTTTACGTACCTCAGCTACAGTTTTGGACTGAAGGGTGTAGAAAGGAGGATGACACAGCTATTTTTTTTTTAATTCCCCCAAGACAAGAGATTAGTTTCTAAAGCATACACTCAGCACCACAAAATTAGTAAAAAGAAAAAAAGAAAGCAGTTAAAGTCTGAGTGCTTAGTGTATGCCAGTCTTTGTTCTAAAAGCTTTATATGTAGAAACTAATTTAATACTTCCCACAACCCTAGGATATAAGGCACTATTATTATACCCATTTTATAAATGAGTTAATTAAGATACAAAGTCTTTGAGTAAATTGCCCAACTTCACAGACTAGTAAGGAGTGAACTTGGGATTCAAACCCAGCCAGGCCCCAGACTAGCCTTCTTTCCACTACATAATATGGCCTCACAAGATAGCAGGGTCTCTACTTTCCCACTGCTCACAGCCCTAATCCTGACCCAAAGGCCCTCACCCACTTCATGCTTAATATTCTGCCTTGCTCCTCACCCACCAGGACTTATTGTCTCTAAATCAGAGTTTGTCCCACGGACCCCAATTCCAGACCCTCTACGGCCTTCACCTCCCACCTTAACTGTGATTCACAATTTCCCACCATGCTGTTTCTGACTTCCCTGGCTAGTAAAGTCACAGACTGCATCAAGGATTTCAAATCCAGACAGTTTCACTTCTTACTCATCTCAATCCCGTTTTTCTACCAAGAATCCCAGAAGTTCTTACAACATGAAAAGATAGCGAGATTGCTGAGAATTTTGCAAAAAGTCAGTGCAAAAACAATTTCCTCTGCCTTTTGTCTAGCCAGCAAAAGCACACACAGCCAGAGCTGTGATATAAAGACTCACTGAAGATTTAATATGTGCTCAATAAAGTCTGACTGCTTCCGGCAGCCTTTCCAGCTATGGAGACGAGCACTCCAAAAGCTTCTATTGCTGTAAGAGAGAAGCGAACGGTTATGGGACAGAGCAGCACACCCACGCCGGAGACGCTGGGAGATGTGCGTTCTAATGTGTTCAGTTCGGGAACAAGGTCTTGTGTGACAGACGCCAGCAGGGAGGCTGCCCGGCGCTTGCGTCCTACCTTCACTCCATCCAGCACAGCCTTGATGACCCCCCTCACGGTTGTCACCGCCTCTTTATCTTCTGAGTTCACACCTTCTAGCATCACTTGGTCAGACCAACGGATGAGATTGGCGAGACTTTGGTACACTCGGCTATGGCAGGAGGAGAGGGCTGAGCTGGGGGGGCAGAGAAGAGTTTGTAAAGAAAGTTAAACATCTAAAGTGACCCTCACCTGAAGCGACTGTTTAGTCCAGAACCAGTTTCTCGGTGACGAGGGCATGTTTCTCCATCTGTCTTTAGAGCCATACCCCCTTTCTGGTAACACCCCCCCACCCCTGGGACCTAGACCCTTACATCCCACAAATGCCATACGGAGCTTTATATTCTAGTCTGTTATAAAATTTTTTCACTTCCCAAATGGAACATACGAAAATTTCATCATGAGTTTTTATACTTCTTCAAACTTCATATCCCAAGAGAGTCCAGTCTCTGTCAAAGAGCGCCCCCTCTTCCCCTCCTCCTCGCCGCTAGTCACGGGTCAAAGCACTGTACCAGTCTTGTTTTCCATCAGACTAACACGTTAAATGTGTCACCAGGAGCCAACAGGCAGGATCCGTTACTGCAGCAGCCTCTAAACGCGAGCTCGACAGGTCTGTAAGTCACTAGAACTCCCTCACTGGGCTCACCCCATCATCCCTGCAGTTACTCCGCGGCAGACATGCCAGAGCAGCGCACTACGAGCGTTTCAAGACGACAGATGAGAGGCGAGGAGGCGCGTGGTGGGGGAGGCGTCGACTGCACACTGCGATTACCCCACACACAGAGCGCAAGGCCCGGAGACTCCTGGACGCCTCAATGATTGGGGAGGGGAGGCCCCAGTGTAGACTTTTTAGATCTCCTACACATTTTTTTTTTAAAGTTTTTATTTACTTGACACAGACACAGCGAGAGAGGGAACACAAGCAGGGGGAGAGGGAGAAGCAGGCTCCCCGCCAAGCAGGGAGTCCAATGCCGGGCTCGACCCCAGGACCCTGGGATCATGACCTGAGCCAAAGGCAGATGCTTAACAACTGAGCCACCCAGGCATCCCAGATCTCCTACACATTTTTAGATTACTAAAGATAATTTTCTCTAGGAATTATGGAAAGGATCACTTTTCCATTTTAAATATTATATAAAAGAGGAAGAGCAAAACTATGGAAGATTTGGGGGAGGCCCCTTTCTCCACTTAAAAAAGCAGCAGGGGGAGAAAAAGAATGAGGTAGACATTTAGAAGCCAAAGACAGAATTTTGAGAAAAAGATATAATATTGTAAGATATGATTAAAACAGGTTCTAAAAGGTTCTAAAAGGGCACCCAGGTGGCTCAGCAGGTTAAGTGCCTGCCTTTGGCTCAGGTTATGATCCCAGGGTCCTGGAATCAAGCCCTGCATCGGGCTCCCTGCTCAGTTGGGTAGCCTGCTTCTCTCTCTCTTCCCTGCCCACCTCCTGCCCCCACCCCGTGCTTACACTCTCAAATAAATAAATAAAATCTAAAAAAAAACAACAACAAACCAAAAACAAACCCAACAACAAAAAAACCCAAACAGGTTATAAAAACAAAGCTATTTCAAACAAAAACCTGAACCAAACAATGCTCTGGCGAGAAGTTCAGTATCAGGTAGGACGGAAAAAACGACAACTTCCATCTAGCCAGGCATTCCACTCTGGGCATGTTCCAACAGGAGAAACAGAACAGCCAGAAAGAATGAAAGGCAGCTCCTCGGGTCCCATTAGAAACAAGAACAGTTTACCAAAGGGCCCGAGAGAGCCGGGGCTTGGCTGCCTCACAGAGTAACAGGAGTGACAAGTGCTTGTTGGACCCACTCTCTTGGGAAGGAGGGTGGTGGGAGGGAGACAAGAACTCAGTCTTCCCTGGGGCAGGACGTGAGGTGGCACCATCCTGCGGGGGTGGGGTGGGGTGTGTGTGTGCGCGCGCGTCCGCTCGGCCAGCACTCCTCCTCGCTTCAAGCAGGGCCAGGCGGGGGCTCTGTGAACAAAGACTGCCTCCTTCTGCCAAAGCGCCCCTGGGGGATCCCACCAAAGCACCAAGCACACTGCTGAACTACTGGCCAGGCTAAGCCGAAAAGGAGGCAGGGAGACACTTTTCCGTAACACTTTCTAGCTGCACCGAACGGCAACACTTCCCTGAAAGCATCTGACGAATCTGGCAACTGTGTTACCTTGGAAGCAGAATATTCCTGTGTCAGGGGCTAAGACACTCAGAGAGAAAGGGGGGTCCTGGACTGTGACCATGTCCAGCGGACCAGTGGCCGGTCTGCTTCAGAAACAGAGCGGAGCCATCCGCACTGAAGGCCAGCACGGATCCGGACGTCCCACTGCGCGGGAGAAGCCTCCGGGCGCTGCTCACACTCAGCGGCCCAGGGGCCTGTTCCAAGGCTGGTCCACCACTGTCCCAGCACCCTAGGGGAGGGCGACCGAGAGCCCGCCAGCTAGGACCCACCCCACAGAGAAAGCTCGGGGAAGAAGACAGGAGAGCACCTTCCCAGTTTATAAACTGCACCGAGAGGAATGACAGGATGGAAGAAATCAAAGAGGAAACTTCGAGGAGGAGCTATCAAGGCGACCAAGAAAAGTATCAGTTGGTTTTACAAGAATTTCAGGAAGAAAAGTCCTGGAAGTGGGATCAGCCCAAGGACTACCTGAGGAAAGTCCTCACTCCTCATGCCCACATCCAGGCGTTTGCTTCCCTCTAGGAAACGGTTCTAGACATTTTATCCCTAGTTCATCAATTACAAAATACCTATAAAAATCCCCATAGACAAAAAAAAAAAAAAAAAAAAAGCCCCCAAACCAGTGTGCCAGCGCTTGATCCATTCCTCCCGTGTTGGCGAGTCCAGAGGGAACTGCCCAGGTCCAGGAGCAACAGCCCCAGCAGCCGCACACGCTCAGCACTGTTCACTCGACGCCCCCGGGAGAGGCTCAGCACCTGAGCCCCGATTCCCCACAGCCCCTCAGTCAGGCCCCACGCTCTGCGCTACACGATTGCTGTGTCTCCTCCCGTGCCTCCTACCAGTGCCCCGCCAGCCTCAGGCCCTTGCCTTTCCTGCTCCCCTGCCCCGAAGGCCTGTCCAATTCCTACCTTTCCTCCAGGCCCTGCCCCAGCATCTCCTGCTCTGGCAAGTTCCACTGGATCACAGGCTCTCCTCTAATTCTCCCTCTTTCAAATCCCAACAGAGCTTCCATTTGGTACCATAAAATTAGCACCTTATCACGGGTGGGAAAGTTGATTTTTTTCCACAGGATTCTAACTCCCCCGTGGTAGGGACCATCTCACGGGTAGAGGTGCAGGAGAAAAGGGCATAAAAAGCGAAGCCATCTACATATCTGACCCTAGCATCCTTGAGGCACATTGCCTTGGAGGAGAACCGCGTGGGGCCCTCTACGAGCTGGGCACGGGGCTCACTACCAGGGAGACACAGTCCTCGGTCTGGGGGCCAGCACACAAAGCACTCCGTGTGTGTGTGGCAACTGAGCAGGGCACGCCGGGACCCTCAGGTTCCTCCTTGGGGACAGCAGCATGGCCTGGAGAAGTGAGGACAGCAGCAAAGCCAAGCCATACCAATGTTTTGTTCTCAGCCACCAGATGGCCTGAAGAGTACAATCTGCAGGGGGCGGCTGGGACCCCACGGCCGAAGCCCCAGGGCAGAGAGCTTCTTGGAAATAAAGACACTGTTTGCACTATCTCCCAGAAGAAGAAACTACCAAGTTCTGAAAGGGGTTCATAAAAGCTCAGTCTCACGGGGCTGTATGAACAGGAAACCATCTCAAGGAGCTGAAAACAGAGATGCGTTGATCCTGAGCAGGTACCAGAAAAGAAACACAAAGCCAGCAGGCATCTGATAGCCTCTCAAAGGAAAAGCGCCTGCGAGGTTCTCACATACGATTACATTTAATATTCCTTTCCTAACAACAGAGACGGGAACAAGCTGCTCCCAGCCTTTAAGGGGAAAATGCACTCTAGCAGGAGAAGCGTTCCTCCGCGAAAGCTCCCTGGGAAGAAGGAGACTCCACGCCACACACCTGGCTTCCAGGGGCTCCAGGCGCTATCTGGCTTGACACAGTGGAATGTCTCATGAATCCATGCTCGAATGGGATTCTTCTCTCTTTTGGCCTAAGCAGCTAAGCAGTCGAGGTTTCTACCAGGCTAGATATTCGTAAGATTTCATGCTACAATAAACCCAAGGAAGGGTACTAGCTACGTGTCCAAGTCTCGGTGTGATTACTGCCAGTGACCCGAGGCAAAGAAACCACCACACACTTACCCGCGGCTACATCCCCAGCAAGGCAAGAGATCTCCCTCAGTGTCAAGGCCTCATGAGCCACATCGACCTCAACCTTGAGAGAGCATCAAGTCATAGCTGTGGAGGGCAGAGAGAGGGCCCCCTTTCCCTCCCAACATTCTCCCCAGTCCCTAGAAGCCCGGAGTTTGAAGTGTTCCCAAACCAAGATGCCCGCAGGCCTCCCTCGCTCTGACACAGCCAAGGACTTTGGCGCAACTCACCTGTGCTGAGTTCGAGGATCGCTCTGCACCAGCGGTAAGATGGCCTCCAGCACCTTGCTGGCTGACCCTGGAAGCATCTCCAGGACCTTCTTATCTATAGCCATTTTGTCCACAATGGTCTTAAAGTAGCGCAAGGCACTAACAACTTCCTTCTCTTTCTCTTCCAGCCAGCTCAGGTTCTGAAAGGAAATGTTAAGCACAAGGAGGGAGGAGAGAGATTAAAGGGAGCTATTTTGAGAAAAATAAAGTATGATTTCCTATAAACTAGCTTGACACTGGTGCAAAGAGAAAAGGCTTCTTGCTGCAGAAACCAAGCCAAATTACCTTCTAAGGATTGCAACCAGGGTACAGAGGCCAGGCTTGAAGGAAGGAAAAGGGAGCGTGCACCAAGAAAGTTCACTGAGATCCTCCTGCATTCCCCTCCTCGTACAGACTGACGTGGCCTGAGGTCTTAAAAATGGCTTCTCCTCCTCTACCTCACTGAGATATCACCACTCACCTCATTAAGTGTAGGGAGCACTAATTTGCTCACGGCTGCAGAAGCTTAGAAAACCAACAGTTGGATCTCCTCCTGGTGCTTATCTCTCCAGTAAATCAAATCCAGAGATCCCAGGCCTTTCAAAGACCTGAGGGACTATGCAAGATGGGCGGGGACATTCGTGTTCAAAACCCATCTTCCCAGGTCCCCTCACTGGAGTCCCACATTCAACCCAAAGAGGCAGCCCCTCTCAATGACATGACGCTCTCTCAAAGGCTCTAGAAACCCCAGGGTTAGAAGGGGCAGATGCGCTGGGGCAAAAAGGCAAAGGAGTCTGAGCAGGTGGCAACGATGCAGTCGCTGCTCGGGCGGCACACGTGAACAGCACTCGGTCCCTCTGCTCCTGCAGAAAGCCCCGCTAAGAGGAAACAACATACAGAGCCCGACGCTTACCAGCATTCCAATTCTCATGCCCAGATCTTTTCTCTACGACTACAGGATACCTCGAATCCAGTCAGTGGGCATACACGCACCTCGGTTCCTTTCCCCAACCTCCCTCTCTATTGGCCCTGATGTCAGCAACCTGGGTCCTGGCTGGCTGGCAGGGAAGGGAGATCAAGGGCCATCTATAAAACAGATGCCCTACCCAAGTGAAACCGGTTCCATGTTCAGTGCAAATTACGATCGCTGTATAGGAGGAAAATTGCCACCTGTGGGCTCTGTGACGTCCAGCGAATACATTAATAAAAGCAACTAAGGGCAAGAAGAACATCCTAGAAAAAGCTGATTTAAACAATAATCTGTAAATAGATAAATCATATATAACAAGAAGTAATTATGATTTGGAACACTAGCTCTCTTCTTAAACGATGGGGAATGTCAGTGTAAATTTATTTAAGTTACCATGTTTAATGAGTGGGAATATCAAAAGACAAATATACAAATGGGATCAAGAAGTAAACAGCTTCTTTGGTGAGGCAACTTCCACCCTCGATGGGGTACTTCCCCAAAGGTGGTCTGTAGACCCCAAGGATGAAGTTCTCTAAGGGGAGGGGCACCCCTTCCCCACCCCCATCACTGGCCGCTTTACCCTCACCTTTTCTCTTTTTTTTTCTTTTTTTAACAATCGGACACATTTATTCACTGTGTTTCCAAAAGGTCAGGCTCTTGTTTCCCACCTCATGGACCTCACGGACACAGGAGCTTTCTGCTCTGCCACTGCTCGCCGGGGCCAGGAAGGACGTGACTATGAAGGAATCACACCCAGACATCAGTGTGACTGAAACCCCGGCTGGCCAGTCTGGCTAGAGGGCCCTGACCACAGCCCTGCCCAGCTCAGCACACCAGGACATGTCTGGAGCCAGGGATGGTGAAAGATGGGGAGGAGGCAGGAAACATCATGAGAAAATGTGTCATCAGGTTTGCCAGGGAGAAAGGGGCTAACCTGGAGATGGGGGGCACCCAAAAGGGGCAGGAAGGCACTTCTGAGCACAAAGAATCTTCCGGTGTTTTGCAGAGATCAAATGAGCCACTGAAGCGCCAGCCTGCACCGCACTCCTGCTAAAGGAGCCGACAACTTAGCAGCGTCAGGTCCCATCCGCTGGGCTTCCAGCCAACGGCACTCCCAGAACCATCAGCCTCTGAGCACGGTCCGTTCACAGCCCCTCCGCCTCTGAACAGCTCTGCGTCTTGCAAATGCAGCCAGTGGTCAGAAGAGTTTACAGGGAGACACCCAGACGGAGCTCGTGCTAGAGCTGGGAACTCAAAGCCTTGGCTCCGCTGACGTCACCTGGCTGTACCGGGGTGTCCCCTCCTGCTATGGGGGATGATGCCACCGTCCATCCACAAACCCGGCAACTGCCTGAGGGTCGTGGTGCTCGGGGAGGGCCTAGACCCGAAGCCACCGCTGGGCTTGGGGACCACTGGCTTCAGGCTCATCTGCAAAACAGGGAGGCTACTCCCTAACCTGGGTGACCTACAGAGCCTGATGTGGGGCAGTGAGTGAGAAAGCACATGCAAGTAGTTCATAAAATAAAACCAGATTTTGATGGAAAATACTTGGGCCAGAGCCTAGACTCTGTATATGAGCAGTAAAGAAGCTTTTGCACACAGTTAGTGAGGAGCAAACAGGACAGCGTGTAGAATCACCCAGGACAGGGCCTGGGCAGAGAGACACCCCCCGGAAGCTGCAGATGAATCTGAATCTGTGACCTCCTGAGCTGCAGTTCCCCAGTATTTAAACAGGGAATGCTGGGGCGCCTAGCTGGCCCGGGCAGTCGGGCATGCAACTCGTGATCTCAGGGTCATGAGTTCAAGCCCCACGTTGGGTGTGGAATCTAGTTAAAAAAAAGTAAAAATAAAATAAAATCAACAAACACAGAATGCCATGCATATAAACTGGGATTAAAATGAGAACATATATGGAAATATTCTCTAAGAGGTAAGAGAGCTAGTTAGTAATCAATAATAATGAGAGCCAATGACAAACGTATTTTCAGATTTCTCCAACGGCATCTTCTAAGTTCACACGTGTTGGCAGGTTCGCCGGCACTCCCACTTCTGCCTGTGGCTTCTACTAACCGGGTGTGTACTCACACGGTCCTGGGCAGCTGACATGGGGCCGAGCAGGGTAATTCAACCCTTCTGAAAGGATGACAACCTCTCTTCCCCGGTGAAGCTCGTACCTACAGCCCCTGCCACAGGACGGGCTCTCAGCTGCAGCACTACGGACATCTTGCGGTGGATACTCCGCTGCCACAGGGGGCTGGACTGCGTGGGGCGTTCACCAGCATCCCCGCTTGTACCCACCAGACCCAGCAGCACCTGCTTTACCAGCCTAGCACTGACAACCAAAAATGTCTCTAGACACTGCCAACGTCCCCGGGACTTGCAGGAACTCACCCCGAGTGAAGGACACTTTCACACTGAATGTGCCCCCGTGCCGTCTCTCGGAGAGATGAAGAAAGGGGGAACCGCTCCAGGAACGGAGAGGAGAGACAGTCTCTTATCAGAGGGGGCCAGCAGGTCACGGCCGCTCTTCCCCGGGCTGCCTGCGCTACGCTACCCAGCCGTGGACACCGCTTGGGGTTGCTGCTCTTGGTTTGTTTTTTAACCAAACTCAGCTCCAAGAGGTTGCTGAAGAGACTGAACCAGAAAATGCCCGTGCTGCACACCAAGTCTTCTGCTTTCCTACTCCGCTGCAGTCGGGCTTTCATCCGTCTGTCACACAAACAACACTTGACCTTCTTCAGCCTCCTTTGGGAAAAGGGTTACTCAGCAAGAGACTTCTGGACTTCAGACTTTAATGTTCTCCACTTTTAACTAGAATTTTACGATATTCTGGTCAAAACAGAAACAAAAATATAGGTACACTCCACGAGTCAAGGCCGACGTGTCTACGTAATGGGGCAGCGTCTGCCCGCAGTGTCCAAGTGCAGGTGTGACATGCACCGGAGCGTTTGGGTGCATTTGTCTATGGGCTTCCTTTTGTTTTACATTACTATGGTTAATTCGGCTTCTCTGTTTCGTGTGTGAGAGTCGCCATCTGGATTTGTAGGACATTCCAACATCAATTCTGGCTTTCATAAAGAGGAAGCACCCGCAGGCACTGAGGAGGGTGTCAGGCGGCCCGAGCTCACCTCAGCTCCACTACCTTTTCCTGCGCGACAGTGGCTAAGGCTTCCTACGTCTACAGCCTCGGTTTCCGCTTCTGCAAGGTAAGTTTCCACCTCCCAGGGTCGCTGTGAGTGTTCAGTGAGAGAGTAAGCGCAAAGCACCGAGCAGGGGGGCTAAGGCAAGTCTGGACAAATGTTAGCAGCACAAAAGCTGTCCCCGGTTCTCAGTACTTGGTTCTGTGCGTCCTCACAGCACACAGTCTCGCAGATGTGTAACACAGCGCCTTTCCCAGCAGACGCTCCTCCCTAATGAGTCCCATCCCCTGAGCAGCTCAAGGAAAGAAGAGCGGGTCTGGAGAGCTGACACTCACCCACCTCCCGCAGAACCCGCCAGACCCAAGCAGTCTGCCCAAACAACCCCAGAAAGGACCCCCACGCTTTTGTCACGGAGTGCTGAGCTCTCTCCAAAGACCACAGGGGCTTGCATAAACTTCATTTTACCCAAGGCCCCCGGACTGTTTCCTGAACAGTGAGGCCCACAGCCGCCGCCCAGCTGAACACAAGGATAGTGCAGTAGCTTTTTCTTTCCAGCCCCAAAACCACGGCCCAGGATTCTGCAGTAGAAGGCAAGGCAAACCCAATTGTTCTTAGCGTCACACTGACCTTCTGCCTCTGAGACCTGGAAGCCACAGCACTGGTGGACATAAATTCTACTGCCTGCTGCTCCAGATCCAAGGGGAGAGGGTAGCCCTCTGGTAGAAATCTGTCTGTTGCCTCCTGGAAGAGAGGAAACCTGGATTCCTACAGAGCTTGAAATGGCCGTTTGAGGCTGAGGGGGGGAGGTGAACGTCTACCGCTGTTCTGACACGGCCGGCCCGGCCAGCCCTGCTCAGGTTGCCGGTGCTTGAGGACATCCTTGGCCGGGCTTTAAGGATTTGGCGCGTCTCGAGCATGGGCCCTGAAGCCTAATGAAGGATGTTCTGGATGTCGCATGCCTCCCTCTAAGTGTGCGTGTGCTAGGGCAACACAGGGTCATCTGGGGCAGGGAAGCAGCACCATGGGGTGTAAACACGGTGCGCCGAGCTGTTTTACACGCCCAGAGGATGACACATCTGGAAGAGGAGAACTGTTCTAGCCGACTGAACTCGACTCTGATTAACAGGACAAACACTCACCATCCTACAGGCTCATACTGCGCAAGGACGCTGACAGTCCCTGCCTGGCAGCACAAACGCTATGGAGTAGCTATGGAGCAGGTGTTTGGCACGGAAAGCTGAATCCCCAGGGAATGAACTTAAAAACAGCACAAACTCATACTGTTTGAAGGAGGCGAAGGCCGGGAGGAACACCTAGAGAGAGTCGGCTTACTTTGCTCACAGGCTTCTCCGGATTTTTCACAGACACCTCAGCTGGTTTTCCCTTCTTTGATGGCGTTCTCTTGATTTTGGGCGAGTGGAATTTGTCCTTCAGCTTCATGGTGAAGGAGGAGAGATGAGAACGCTGAGAGTCTGAAAACAAGGAGAGGACTAATGGTTAGAAGCAGGGTAGGAAGAAGCTGTGCTCCGCGGACCTTCTACAGAAACGAGCATCGTCCCTAAACAAATCTTCTTCCCTGGCTGTTTAGTTACAAAGGAAAGGAAAGACGGATCTACTGATCTATCTTCTATCTTCTATCTTCTGCTTACATGTTTTAATTTCTGCAATTTCCATTTAAATTAGGTTGTTCAGAATTGTGGAAGTCAAAGGCAGTCAAAATAGCTATGGAAAAAGAATCTGCCAATATTTCCAGCATCCTCTTTACTCTATCTGATGAGCTGAGTCTAAGGGAACTTGGCTAAGAAGCAAGAATACCAAAGCAGAATCATGGACGTGCAGGATGTATGAACTGGAATGAAAGTCATACATTTTTGAGTCAACCTCCTTTTGAGGTTTTGAGTCAACCTCCTCGTTTCTGTTGGTTTAGGGAACAGCAGTAAGTGTCATGCGCAAGGCCTCAGAGTTGGCACTAGAGACTGAAATAGCACTGAGGCGTTCAAACACCCTGGAATATAGTGTGAGACTGGATGGTTTCTCTCCAAGGTCAGGAACAAGCCCAGGGTGTCCATTCTCACCATTCTTACTCAATATCGTACTCCAGTACCTAACAAAAGTCGTCTAGCTTGGGAAGGAGGACATAAGGAGGACATATTTGTAGATGACCCTGTGTATGGAAAATCCCAAGCAATTCACTAAAAAACTATTAGCACTAATAAACCACAGGGTACAGATCAATATACCAAAGTCTGTTGGATTTCTGTACAGTAGAAATGAATGTTCCAAAATGAAATTTTACCAAGCTGCCATTTAGGGGTCCCTGAGTGGCTCAGCTGGTTAAGTGCCCAACTCTTGATTTTGGCACAGGTCATGATCTTCAGGGTCGTGAGACAGAGCCCCATGTAAGGCTCCCCACACAGTGTGGAGTCTATACAGGATTCTCTTTCTCCCTCTCTCTCTAAAATAAATAAATAAGATCTTGGGGCGCCTGGGTGGCTCAGTCAGTTAAGAGTCTGCCTTCGGCTCAGGTCATGATCCCAGAGTCCTGGGATCGAGCCCTTATTGGGCTCCTTGCTCCATGGGGAGCCTGCTTCTTCCTCTTCCTCTGCTGCTCCCCTTGCTTGTGTGTACTCTCTCTCTCTCTCTCTCTCTCAGTCAAATAAATAAAATCTTCACTCTCTCAAGGGTCTTTCAAAAATAAATAAACAAATAAAATAAAATAAGATCTTAAAAAAAAGCTTCCATTTATACTACAGGGAAATGATGATGGTTGGCAGAGGGAAGGGGTTGAGAAGATGAGCAAAAATGGGAAGATGGGGAAAGGGAGTGGGAGACACAGGTTTCCAGTTATGGAAAGAATAAATCATTGGAGTTAAAAGTACAGCATAGGGAACATATCAATGATATTGTACTGGCGCTGTCTGGTGACAGACAGTAGCTACACTTGCGGTGAGCATAGTCTAACATGTGGAGACGCTGGCGTACTGGGTCCTACACCTGCAACCAGTGTAACACTGCGTATCAACTATACTTTGACAAAAACAAAACAAAAACAAACAAAGAGCTCCCACTGACAATATCATCAAAAAGAATAAAATACTTAGGGGCTCCTGGGTGGTTCAGTGGCTTAAAGCCTCTGCCTTCGGCTCAGGTCATGATCCCAGCATCCTGGGATTGAGCCCCATGTGGGGCTCTCTGCTCAGCAGAGAGCCTGCTTCCTCTTCTCTCTCTCTCTCTGCCTGCCCCTCTGCCTATTTGTGATCTCTGTCTGTCAAATAAATAAATAAATAAAATCTTGAAAAAAAAAAAAAGAATAAAATGCTTAGGCATAAATTTAACACAAGAAGTGCAAGACGCACACTAAAAACTATAAAACATGGTGGAAAGAAAGACAATCTAAATAAATGCAAAAGCATACCGTGTTCACGAATTAAGACTAATATTAAAATGTCAATATTCCCCAAACTGATCTACAGATTCAATATAATCCCGAGGAGAATCCCAGATGGCTTTCTGCAGAAAATGATAATCTAATCCTAAAATAAGCATGGAAATATAAGAGACACAGAACAGCCAAAACAATGTGGAAAAAAGAATAAAATTAGAAGACTCATCTTCCTGACTTTAAAACTTCCTATTCAGAAGTTATAGTAATCAAGATAGCATGGTACTCACATAAGGATAGGCATATAGAATAATGGAATAGAACTGAGAGTCCAGAATAAATTGGCCATGTGTCTACGGCCAACTAATTCTTAACAAGGATGCAGGCTATCCAATGGAGGAATGAATGTTCTTTTCAACAAGTGATGCACACACAACTGGACATTTCATATACAAAAGAACGAGAATGAATCTGGGCTCTTACCTCACGCCCTAAACAAAAATTAATTCAAAATGGATCAAAGACCTGAACATAAGTGTTAAAACTATTAACTTTTAGAATAAAACCTAGGGATAAACTTTTTGTGACCTTTGATTTGGTGATGGTTTCTTAGAACGCCAAAAGCACAAGTGACAAAAGAAAAATCAAATGAATTGGACTTCACTGAAAGGTAAAATTTAAACTAGACTTACTGTGGTCACTGTCTTGCACCTATGAATATCAAATCATTACGTTGTACATCTGAAACTAACATGATATTATCTATCAATTAAAACATTTGTGCTGCAAATGATACCACAAGAAAATGAAAAGACAAACTACAGAATGGGAGAAGATATTTGCACTCCTACACCTGATAAGGACCTGCATACAGAAAACAAACAACTCTTATAATTCAACAACAAAAGACAAATAATCCAATTAAAAATGACCCAGGGACTTCAAAAAGCATTTCTCCAAATAAGATACACAAATGAGCAATAACCATATGAAAAGATGCTCGACATCATTAGTCATCAGGGAAATGCCAAAACTGACACAAGTTACTCCTTCAAACCCACGGTGTATAGTAAAAGACACGTAGTAACCAAGTGTGTGATGGCTGGGGAGCTGGAACCCTCCTACACTCCTGCTGGAAATGTAAAATGGGGCAGCAGCTGTGGAAAATATCTGGCAGTTCCTCATAAGATCAAACATGGTTACCGGACGACCCAGCAATTCTATTCCTAGGCATATACCCAAGAGAAATGAAAATACACATCCACGTGATTCATACACACAAGGTCACAGGAGCATTACTCATAAGAGTTGACAGATGGAAATAACTCAAATGTCCGTGAACAAATACATAAAATGTGGCATACCCATACAACAGAGTATTGCCTGACAATAAAAAGAAATGAAATCCTGAGACCTGCTACAACATGGACGAATTTGATAAAATTATGCAAAGTGAGAGAAGCCAGTCACAAAAGACCACTTACGGGATCTTCCATTGATTTGAAATGTCCAGAATAGATAAATTTATAGGGACAGAAAGTAGATTAGTGGCTAAGAATGAGTGAATGGGAGAGAGAAGGAGAGGGGTTGCTAATGAGTATGAGGTTTCTTTTGGGGCAGACATAAATGTTCTAAAATTAGAATCTGGTGACGGTTGTACCAAACCCCAGTAAATTACTACATACACGCACATACACACACACACGGAATTCTACACTTTGAGCCAACTGTATATGTGAATTATATCTCAATGAAGCTGTTTTTATAAAAAGCAAAACCCACTGAGGACTTCCTTCATCTCACCATTTACCTCAGTGCTGTCCAGTGCTGTCTGAAACCATCTTATTATGTGATTTATTTATGTGCCTGTTGCCTCACAAGAATGCAAACTCACCTGAGGACCACAACTGTCCTGTGCATGACTGCATCCCCCGTGCTCACATGGTACCAGGCCCATAGAAGATGCTCAGTAGACATTCACTCAACAGTAAACATTCAACCAACCAATCAGGAACTATCCCACAAAGCAGACTGCTTCTTTTGATACTACCTGAAATTTACAGAAAATATTTTAAAGTGGTTGAAAATTAGGGGACAGAACATGATCCTATGCAATAGAAAAATAAATGCTTTGTAGTTTTAAAATTACAAGGCACCCCCCTTCTTTATTTTAAAGATTTTATTTATTCATCAGAGAGAGAGAGAGAGAGAGCGAGCAAGCACACAAGCAGAGGGAGAGGGGAAGCAGGCTCCTCACCGAGCAGAGAACCCCATGTGGGACTTGATCCGAGGACCCTGGGATCATGACCTGAGCCGAAGACAGATGCTTAACAGACCAAGCTATCCAGGTGTCCCAAGGCACCCCCCCTTTCCATTTTTCCAACGGTTTACTATTAAAACACCCTTCCAAATAAATGACATAGGACCTTGTGCTACAGGTCTGTCACCGTGTCTATTACTGCCTGTGGCTTCAGAGAGACAAAGACCTTCCAGGTGGCAGGCAGGATCAGGTAAACTATCTGCTCTTTGCAAACTATCTAGAAGCCCACTGCACTCTGGACCAAAGAGAAAAGCCAGAGCCTGACCTTCGTTCACATGCGGTCTAGCCAAACACGGTTTTGCAGCTGTCTGCTGGCAGGAAGCCCTTCTTGGACCCCAAAGGTGTAGAGAGATCCACAGGAAGCTGGTGCACCTCTCCCCTCACACGGAACCGCTCAGTACAGTGTAAGGAGGGGCTCTCCGCACCTGCCCTTACATGCCACGGTCATCCCTGGGATTCACAGCAGGGGACTGGCATGGTGTGGCTCCTCCGTCCTCCTCTACCTTGCCTCTTCTTCCCCACCCAAGCAGGGTGGGTCCCCCAAACAGTCTGTACTTCCTTCTTTATACTTCAGAATGATGCCACCAGTCCGATCATACATGCCGGGTTAGAAGGGTAAGCTCTATAGTCAGACTATCTGGGTTAAAATACTTCAAAGTCACCTTCCAAGTCTTAGGTTCCTTTTTCCGGAAAACAAGGCTGATGACGCTGTCCTTGAGATGGCCAACGTGATGTAGAATAAGCGAGGCACTGCCTGTGGATAACACAGG